ACAGCTGTGGTGGCTCTTCTGGCTGGTGGGGGGCGGTTTCACGTGCAGCTGCTGTTTCTTAGCAGAGTGTATGATGCTCAGGAAGTTGCTGTTGCTTGGATCTGCTTTCCAGGGGAGTTCTGCTCTTCCCGGCTGCAAACCGTCTCACCAGCTGAGCCCTTTCGCCAACTCGGGGTGGGAGCTATTAGTTTCAGCTGCTCACTCCATTTGCTCCGGGGCACGACCTGGGACGCGTCTGCCTATATCGCCGCCATCTTCTCTCCCCGCCAAAGTTGAATTTCCATTAAAAAGTAAAGAAGACCTATTTAGTTAGTTTGGGATTGATAATAAAAAGAACTTGTCTCTTAAATAGCTATTACTCTCTTGCTTATGGTGTCAGGCATCAGCAATCAGCATCTACTTGTTTGCCGCAAAGAATGCCATTTTTCCAGCCTATCAAATTTTTTAAATAGTATGCAACATTCCAAAGGATATATGTGGGTGAAACATAAGAATGACAGTTTTGCCTTAGATTCCATGTGTACTAACTCACCAAGCACATTAACAATATAAAGCTCTCTGGGTAGAATTTGTTGGCAAGTTCAACTCATAGAATTTAACACAAAAATGTTCCTGAAGCCACCAAGAGGCAAGGGAGATATCAGCTTCCTACTCTGGGAGTTGCCCCTCACCTACTAGACCAAGTCATCTCTGAGTTGACTGTTAGGTTGCCCTGGGCTGTCAAGGATGAACTCTGAATGGCTTGAACTATGACCTAGATTGAGGTTGTGAACAAGGTTAATGATGCCAAGGCATCGGAGAATGGTAATGATCACCTCTCACCAAAACTATTCTTTCAGAAAAGAAGCAAAGTGGAAAATATGTTCTCCTTCTGTTTATTTATCCCAATGGTTTAAAAAATCAGCTTTATGGAACCATAATATTCCTCAGGACAGATGGGCTTACACATTAGCATCGTGCTTTCAATCCACAGTTTACATTTCAAGAGGAAGGTGAAGAAACTGAATGTAAAGACATCGTCAGTATCTATTTGTCACTTTCAGTTTTATGACATTGATACAAAAAATAGTATTCTGATTAGCAGCTTGATTGGCAACCCATGTAACCCTAAACAGTACTACAAACCTGGAGAGTGCACTTTTACAGACAATTACATTTGGCGAAATAGTATGTACAATTTTGACAAATAAATACATAAATACAATCATTCATATATAACAATATACCTAAATGTCAATTATCATCAACAAGTGTTTCTAGTAAATTACTTCTTCCATTCACAAGTTACGTTTTTGCTTATAAAAACTATCTTCACCTTTACCGAAGAAATCACATCATCAATCCCCCCACTAAACCCACATATTAGGAAAGGTAGAAAATGAATCCCAGGCGTTTTATGTAAATGTTCAATTGTCTTTTGATAGAAGAGATTTCATTGAAAAACTCCTTCCTTAGCATCTCTGTAAAGAGTTTGTTGTCCCTATATCATATCACACAAAGAGGTGTTTTTTTTCTTCTTCTGAATTTAATCCAAATAAAAAATGACCTTCATTTTTATTCTAGTATTTAAAAATACAATATTATATATTGAAACTGGCATTTGAGTCAATATAAGAAGACACAAAGCCACACAATCTAGTCACCAAAGATAAATTTTTTTCCCAAAATAAATTTAAGAAAGAAAATGTAAGAATATAGACACTAATCATTAATACCTTTTGTTATACATTGCAACACGAAAAAAAAAATGTATGGGGACAGTAAGAAGGTTTTTGTAAAAACTGTCTGAATGACTCCAAGTATAATACTGTCTGAAATATTATTTTATATCAGAGAAATGATAATATTTTTTTAAAAAATGGCATCACAAATAACCGAAACCATAATTTGGACAGTGACAAAATTAACAAAAGTAGAAAATTAGAGCATTTTCTGATCACTTTGACTTAAACATTTTTTGAACATTCAAAAAACAAAGGGCAAACATGCTTTACGCTATTGCAACTGGACAAATGGCCTTGCCTCACCAAGCTCCATGCAGAAGAAAATGTACCCAGCAAGCACATTCTAGCTATGCGTAACGGTGGGGAGGAGAAAAAAATGCCTTTAAAATATATACATACGGTCTTTGATGAATATTTACATGTTTGTCACATGGGCACTACCTAGCATAAAAAAGTTAGGAAATAGTTCTTTAAGACATGATTTTCTGATTTTTGCTCCTTTTAAAGATTAGGGCTCTGTTCATAACACACACACACACACACACACACACACACACACACACCCCAATTGATAGATGTACATATATGATGTTTATAGCACGTAATTCCTTGACACCAATGGTGACTTGAGTCAGCATAAGGTGAATGCAAGACGGTAGTATGAGACAGAGGCTTGACTCGGCCACACAACTGAAAGGTGAACCACGTACAAAGTCATGAGACCTCTGCAGTGACTGGAACTCACAGCAGTCAAAAGGTGCGGTTGGAGGGTGGCTCACCTGTGCTAATCCATCTCTCCCCAGTTCTTACGGTTCTGATGACTGTAAGATGAAGATCTAGTAAGGGACCGGGAGGCCTGTCTCACATTGGGTTCTTCTGGGGCTGGGGATGAGCGATCCAGTGTTTTCAGTAAATAGGCCATGACTTCCATTTATTCATTTTGTCTACCTGTTTGCTACCAACTCTTAGGGGGGCTTCCAAAGGTCATATTAAAAAAAAGATATACTCTTTCAGTTGTGGGCCTTCATTTGAAAGAAAACAAAGCTTTCTACTGAGTGACAGACGTGGAACGCGTGGTTTGCCGAGGGCCTATTCTTCCCATAGAAGTGGACTAGCTCCACTGATCCTCACAGTTCCTGAGATCTAAGTTGCTGTGATACATTTTGCAAAGCATGTGCTTCAATTGCTCTAATATACCCCTCGCCAGAGGCTCCTCCCCAAAGAAAGCCAGCTGCCTTCCCTTTCAGCCTCCTGGGAGATCAGGGCAATGTACTGAAATAGTAACTTATTCATTGAAACCAGAATAAATGACAGAGAAATTGAAGCTTCCACAAACAATTAACATCTCCAAGGAAAAGTTTTAGAAGAATCAGGTGCAATAACAGTTCATATTTAATCTTTATTTTGGCAGATTTATATTAAAATGATGTGACTAATACTTCTGACCATCATTTTAGCATTTAGCATAATGCATGATATGTTGCATTACATAGCACCTTTTAAACCAAGGATCTCAAAATACTCAGCAAATGAGATTTGCTCTCACAGCACCTGTGAGGTAGGTGTTTTTTCCCCAGCCATTTTATAAATGAGCGTATTTGAAGCACAATAAGGTGCTTACATGACCCAACTGTATTATGGCATCAGTAGAACTTGAACTCAAGCTTCCCCCTCTTCTTTCCCATGAACCCCAATTACAGAGCCTTCAGAACATTCCTATCAGCAAGGATGATAGAGGTACTTGGATGTTCGAATATTAGAGAGTATTATACCTCTTAGCTGTAGGGCTAAATCATTCAATAACTTGGTATCTGCTAAAAGATTTTTCTCATGTACTTTGCAAATGTGTGGGAAGGACATCTTATACTATTGCTAAGCTTATGTGAATTATAATGCATATATAAATTTGTATTTTCTCTGTGTGATTTATTGTTCTTCTGGCCTCCCACCAACTTATTTCTACACATGTGCCTGCCTGAGACAGAAACTATAAAATGCACTTAGCTACATGATGTGGAGGGTAGCAGAAATGATGACATCTGGCAAAATCTCCTTGGAGGCACAGGTCATGTGTGTTTGATGAGCAAGCAAAATCATCTTCCAAACATACAAAGTATTTGATTCTTAAGTTTAAACTTCCATTTATTTAACTGCAGCCTCCCTGCAAGTACTACTAGTAAGCTCATTTCTTGTTGGAACCACAGATACTGTACACATGATGTGGTAATGTATGTAAAAATTCAATGTAACAGCACACACAATACTAATCATTCGCATCCAGTGTGTCTCCCTAACTGTGCATTACTTCTGAGTTGTTTTTGAAAAAGAGTTATTTCTTTACTTCTGCAGAGATGCAATGAAGACATTTACTGTGAGTTTCAGTTTCCCAGAACCAGATTTGTACCTCAGACGCACAGTATGGAAATCCTAGCAGTTGGTAGGAAGTTGCTTTTTGAGATAAATGCAAGGCCTTAGGACCTGAGAATAAAATCTGACCCTTCTCACTTATGCATTGTTTCTATGATCGGAGCCTAATGCTTGTAAATTGGCAATCCAAGAAAGGAACTAGGAGCGGGAAGAAAATGCTTTTTACAAAACCCCTTCACCAGTTCACTTCTCCTGGTGACACCTGTAAAATACCAACACCCAAGCCCCGTTTCTTAAAAAAGAAATGTATTTACACTGGTAAAAACCCTAACATCTGAGATGCTTCTTGCTTGACATGTCATTCCAGATTCTGTGCATCTCTTCCGGAGAGATCTGATGCACAGTGATAACTCGGCGGTACCTACACAAACTGTAGGCCATTTTCCAGTGATTGAAGCCACTGTTCTGAAAAGGATGAATGCCCAGCTTGCGAAGACACAGTCCTACATAGACGTCTTCCAGGTGAAGTAGCCTTGTGTGGAGTGAGGTCTTGTAAATGAGTTCAGCCACATCGGCTGAGAAGATATAGCCAGTCCCCGAACAGAAGGGCGGGTAGTTACTGTCAGGGTACAAATCCCTGGGCATGTACCACTTGCTGCGGACGTCCCGGATGGGCCCTCCATTGATGACATAGCCAGTAAAATACCTCCTTCTTGGTTTGGTGGAGGGTTTTAGTAGTTTATAAATAAGATTGTCCATGTTTACAAAAATGTCACTGTCTGTTTTCATGACATACTTGGCTTTTGAACAAAAAGTGGCCACCCATCTCATCCCCATCAATGTTTTGAGGGTAAGGTTATGGTAGGAGTCGATGAAGTCCTCCACGATGATGTCGTGGAAGATTTGGCTCTCTTGCTCCACCATCTGATTCAGAACAGGATCGGCGTTCTTGCCCAGGAGGAACAGCGTGGCGATCTTGATCCCTTTAAAGCTGTTCTCGTCCCCCCATGTCTCTCGGATGGCCTGGCGGGCATCGAATTCTTTGTGGGTGGTGCTGATGAGGATAACAAGGAAAGGAATGTTTTTCTCACATTTGTTGGGCTCATTTATAAGAAATTCAAAAGAATGTGGGTTTATAGGTCGAGTTCTTATGTTGCCAAATGTGAAGTTTTTCCTGGCAACTGTTAGGTGGCTGAATGGCTTGGAGCCAGAGTAGGAAGAAGTAGGACGAGTTACGCTCAAGTACCAGAGAGCGCTGGCCCAGCACACAACTGTCAAAACATATAGACAGGACACCTTTGAAGCCATGGTCTTGAGAGCACGTCTATTCCAAATACTGAAGAATATGCCTTCTTGGCATTAGTTTCTTTTCATCTCGCAAAGGTAGCATATTACTAGTTAATCTTAAAGTTCGATAGAGAAGTGTGAGTGTAGCATTGTCCATGGGTCTTAGTGGCAGTCTGCTATCACTGCATTCATTTTACTTTCTTCCAACCCTGATCGAAGGCTTCATGCCTCATAGATCTTCCTCTTAACTCTGCAAAATCAATAAAGTAAAGTTGTTCAGATTTATGAAGTCATTTCATATTCTCACATAAACATAGTATGGGTATAAGAATTGCCCATGATGACTAAAATTAACATAACCATTCATTTCCTCAGTACTGAAAACTTCCTGACACAAGCATCCTCCCTTTTCTTCCCTTGATAGAAGGGGTTTATGGATAATCACACCCAATAACAAATATATAGATTATGAACTCTAGATGAATATGCAGTAAATGGAACATTAGTAACTAAAACAAGTTTCCTTCTCCTCATAGGTGGCCGTCTTTGCAGTTAAACAGCTTCTGACACTAAAGTCTTCTTTCATGCAGGAAAGCCTCACACAGCCTTGTATCTCTTTTCCATGTTTCCAACTCTGAGTTTTGTTGGCTTGACTGCGGTGAAGACATCAGTTGTAAACATCTCTTTGCTTTCTCTAGCCCTGTATGTGAAAATGTGTTGATCACCACTGAAAAATCTCTGCTAAAATGGTCTTCTTTGGTTCAGATTTAGAAGCAATTCCCAAATTTTCCTCACTTTTTCTTTACTTTGGCTCTCACAAATGTTAGTTCCTACTTCTCAGTTTTCTATGATGTCCCATATGGAGAATATTTTTACTCCTCATGCATGAAGACCACCACACAAGTGTCTTTTCAGACAGTGGGCATTATTCATTTTGGAGTTGATCTAAATGGTACCACATTTTGTGGTTTTCAACAATTCACCTTGATGTTCCCTTGATGAAATTATACTGCCCCTTTAAATTTTTTTTTACTTAGTTATACTTAACCTGCAAACATATCAGGAATATAATAAGTGACACAATTGAGCTTGGGAGTTGTGACATAGTCCTTTAATTGGTGTTGAAACAAAAATGTTGTCCGTTGCCTAACTGGTGTGGCTCAATGGTTGAGCATCATTCCTTGCACCAGGAGGTCATGGTTCAATTCCTGATCAGAGCACATGCCCAGGGTGTTGGGCTTGATCCCCAGCAGGAGGTGTGCAGGAGGCACCCGGATCAATGATGTTTCTCTCTCATAACGGTGTTTCTATCTCTCTCTCTCCCCCTCTCCCTTCCTTTCTCTCTAAAGTCAATAAAGACATCTTTTTTTAAAAAGTTGTCCTTTGGAACTCATATCTTTTCTAGAACTTCAGCTGCTATCATGCCAGGTAATATGTGCCAAGTTGCAAAGTCCATTCATGTAAAAAACTGTCCCTTCCTAGCTAGAGCAAAATGTGGTAGTCCTGGAAGACAGAGATAACAGATAATGGATATCCATTTCTACAAAGTCTGCTTCAAAGAAGACTGTGCACTTAAATGTGTACTATGTTGAAAACATTTAACTGGGATTATAGACTAAAAATCAGGCTTCTAAGCACAGTAGTCATAATGAAATGAAAAGACATTTTGAGCAACAGCAGAGATAATACTTATCTTCTTGTCGAAGCCAAGAGCTGACTGTGAATATATGATACATATGAGGCCTGCAATGCCCAGTGTGGTTATGGTTCTAACTAAATAAATATTAGAATGGCTTCAAGCAGCAGGACTCTAGGCATAGTCAGCCTTCTCGCCTTGGGAATACAGATATCACTTCCATTTGAAATCCAAAGGGATGTGAGTGAGTCTCAAGAGGGTAGTAGAAACCAAACTTTCTCCACCATTATTGTAGTCTACTTAGCTGATTCTTGTTAGCTTATCTTTATCCATAGATAGCCCGTGTTGCCTTTCATACTTTCCTACAAAATTCTGAGCCACCCATTATTAAGCTGTTAAGGTACTCAAAGAGTCTCATCTGGAAATGGCTCTTCTCTACTGGAAATTAACAAGGCTACTACTGATGGAGGATTAATCATGTATAAGAGGTATTGGGAAAGCAGAAATAGAAACCATATGCCTCCTCAAGGAACTCACAGGCTATGTGAAAAGACTTCAAAGAAGTGGTTAAAACAGTGGAATAAAAATATCCATCATCAGGCTCCTGGGGTGCACAGGAGAGGTGGGCTGGTGGACAGGATATGAGAGAACCAGGAACAGCCATGGAGACTATGCACAGTACAACTCCAGAGCCCAGCATTCTCACAGACTGCAACAGGAATCCTCACGCCTCCATCCATCCTGGAGTCAAATGATGATTAGCCCTGGGGAGGGTACCATGGAAAATTCAGAATAGTTATCTGAGCTGAATCTTCAAGGACAACTAGGCGTTATCTGGATGAGAACTCGGCATACTAGGTAAAGGGAACAGTAAATTCAAAGGCAGAACATGAGAGAAGTGTGTGCCAGGAAGTGAAGTGAAGGAAGAGGACAGGTGATGTGGATGAGGGTGGGAATGGTGAGCTTTGGGGCTCCTGAGATATGCAGAGGTCAGATGGTGAGTGGCACTCAGAAATTGTTCTGAGCTGAGTAACTGGTTACCCATCTTTGCAATCTAAAGCGGGTAAGGGAGGGTTTTACTTTACCCAAATCCTACCCACTGATTTCAATAGCAATTCATTCTTCCACATTAAGGGTTTCTTTCTCCCACAATTCTATGCACCAGAAGGGTAAGTGAGTTTGTTTAATCCGATACCTTTCTGTGTGACTTTCAGGGGTGGGGGGAAGGGATAGACTCCATAAACACAGTACCAGGAGATTTAGAAAGAGCTAAAAGAGGGAGACACAGAAGAGAAATAGGTGAGATCATGAACGAGTTTATGTATTTATAAACACTTTTCATTGAAGAATAAGCAATTTTCCTCAGACAGCTAACAAACATGATACTTCATGCCATTGCTATTGTAGGCCTCATTGTAAAATGTGGATGTACACCAGGCACTGTGTGGTACTCTGTACCACACATTTTATAGAGCTTCATTCCCTACAGTGAATTGAGAGGTATTTTCTCAATTTTCCAGATGACAGAAGTGAAACTCGGAGAGATGAAGTAGCTTTCTCAAGATCACTCAGTTAATGAGTGAGTGGTGAGTGGTCATTTCAAGCTTCCTAAGGCCTGTTAGGACCTGAGGTGAAATCTTAGATGGGAAAGCCCTGGGTGGCAGGGAGCATCTCAGGCTGTTGTTCTCCCGGGGATCCATATGTTCATTTTCTGAGATGTGTACTCACTGCTTGGAGTTTTTTCTAGTTCATTTTGGTTTGCTACGCACACACTACAGCAATTCTGTAGGGGATTCTTCATCATGAAAAAATGATGACTTGCAAAGAGCACTTTAAATCTCAAAGATGCTGGGGGTGGCGAGAGAGCTGCAACCATGGAAGAGGTTCAGAAACACTCTGCAGTTCCCTTTCTCTGAAGTCCTGAAACACACACACACACACACACACACACTGAAAGAATCATTTTTTCCATTGCCTTTATTATTCAAACATGAGAAATAAAGTAGGCACAGTATTATATTTTGGTCACTAGTTAATGGAATGATCACCTATAAAAAGAGAGGATGGAAATGGGACAAGGAACCAGCCTAGAAACTGAAGAGCAGCCCAGGATAACGATAAAAGGCTGCTGAAAATGTCCCTTTTGCCTACAACAGAACAGATTTTTCAGGTGCACAAACAAGTACAAATACAGGGGGTCCCCCCAAAAATGTATACACATTTTTTTAAATATATATTTTATTGATTTTTCACAGAAAGGAAGGGGGAGGGATAGAGAACTAGAAACATCGGTGAGAGAGAAACATCGATCAGCTGCCTCCTGCATACTCCCCACTGGGTATGTGCCCGCAACCAAGGTATATGCCCTTGACCGGAATCAAACCTGCGACCCTTGAGTCTGCAGGCCGACGCTCTATCCATTGAGCCAAACCGGTTAGGCTTGTATACACATTTTAACAGTTGCTAGCTCAATTTTGAAAATGAAATGTATTTTAATAAACACTGCCTTTATAGTTATTCAAAGTGTGTGTATACATTTGTGGGGACCCCCTCTATATGGCTCTTGACCAGAACCAGTAATATAAGGAAAGAGACAAAGAGAGTAACATAGTGCATTTAACTCTGAAGAGTAATTGCATATCTGTTGGATGAAGTAGTTGGTAATGGGCCAGATGTCCGCGTTTTACTCTGTGAGCAATCCTAAATTGTTATGCGGCTTTCTGTGCCTCTGTAGTCTTAAGAATAAACTAAGGGCAAGAATAACATCTGCTTAATCTCCAAACACATTATAGGCATTAATGACCATTGCCAATTGCTTGAGTTTCTGGGGGAAGGGTGCCATATAGACAGATGGTATTATGATACAAAAAGCAGGATCTGCTCTGGCCAGGTCACTCACTTTCCTGAGTGTTGTCCTGTACACCCAAAGGTGGTGGGTTCAATTCCTGGTCAGGGCACATACCTAGGTTGTGGGTTTAATCCTGGGTTGGGGCACATACAAGAGGCAACCAACCAATAGATGTTTCTCTCTCACATTGATGTTTTTTCTCTCTCCTCCTCTCCCTTCCTCTCTCTCTAAAAATTAATAATAAAAAACAACAACAACATATATCCTTGGGTGAGGATAGAGAGAGAGAGAGAGAGAGAGAGAGAGAGAGAGAGAGAGCAGGATCTAATGGGGATGAGGGGATTATGTCAGGACACCAGGTCATGATTTGGGATCTAAAGCACATATATCAATAGATTCTTCTAAATATATAGGATTGGTATCAGTTCCTTGGTTTCTTTGCCTAGATTAGTGACTACACTGATAGATTTTCCTGCTAGAGAATTCTATTTTCTTTCTGGAAAACTCAAAGCCAAAGGTCCACTGAAAAATTCTGGGGAAGGAGCTGAGTGTCTGTCACAAACTTCAATTCTCTGGAGGGTTCTCTCAGTTTTACAAGATTTAAAATCTTGTTGAACAGACATGTTAATGTATCAGGAAAATAGCAAGTTGCACATACATTTGTCATTCCTTTTAGCAGCTCTTCCACAACCAAGACACTGACGACACATTAGCTTGTCATCCGTTAAATACAAACTCCTCCAAACTGAAACATTCACTAGAACAC